TTCTTCTTCTGTTCCTTCTACAAACCCATTAAACTTTTATTTGTTGGACGCAGCTCGGAGTTTGAAGCAGAATTCAAACGCCCCCCGCCGAGTCTCGGGGATTTAAAGGAACCTGATTGTGGATCATTAGAAGTAAAGTCCACAGAACATTTGCATACGGCTCCGAGTTCTGAACGTGGACGGGCCTCGGATCATTATTCAAACTCTTCAAGTGGTTTAGTTCTGATTATTGACTCAAAATAATCGACTGTATTCTTCGGACGATAAGTTGCACTTCAAATCCTTTTATTTTCTCAGAAGTCGTCAGTGCTCCTCATAATCCAGTGCCTTATGGTTTCATTCTGGTTGTGTTACTGACCTCGAACTGATTTTCTGTGGCACACGCCGCTCAAAAATCTGTCAAAATGTTTTAGTACGACTTCGTTAAACTACGAAGCCGCACCGCATGATGGACTGTCGGAGCAATGGATCGTGGACGCCTGGACCAGAGCGCGGAAACCGAAGACCGAAGTCTGACGGGACTGAGACTCCGACGCTCTGAGACTCTCGCGTGTTCAAAGTTCAGACTCTGCTCTTCTAGTTTCACTCCAAGTCCAAACTGTGTGATTATTATTTGTGAAATGTGGAGCAAAACGTCAGATTCAGGATTTTTAAAGCGTCAAAGATGGGAGATAAAGTGTGTCTGTGTCCGTTAGAGCCCCCCCCCCCTCGTACGCCGCGCCTCTAAAACAGAAATAAAACCAGCTCCAAACCAGAACTAAACCAAGATTAAACCAGCACTAAACCAGAACTAAATCATAACTAAAACCAGGACTAAACCAGAACTAAATCATAACTAAAACCAGGACTAAACCATGTCGCGTGAACCGCGCCCCGCCTTCTTCGATATGCCGCGTGCACCGGTTCTCCCGTACGCTGCCGGTCCACGAAAATTATCTCTAAAAGCACTGGTTTAGTCCTGGTTTTAGTCCCGGTTTATTCCTGGTGTTTTCTGGTTTAGTCCTGGTTTAGTCCTGGTTTAGTCCTGGTTTAGTCCTGGTTTAGTTTTAGTCCTGGTTAGTCCTGGTTTAGTCCTGGTTTAGTTCTGGTTTAGGTTTAGTCCTGGTTTAGTCCTGGTTTAGTCCTGGTGTTAGTTAGTCCTGTTAGTTCTGGTTTAGTCCTGGTTTAGTCCTGGTTTAGTCCTGGTTTAGTCCTGGTTTAGTCCTGGTTTAGTCCTGGTTTAGTCCTGGTTTAGTCCTGGTTTAGTCCTGGTGTTAGTTCAGGTTAGTTCAGGTTAGTGTTTTTCTCTGTTCACTGTTGACTCTGTTCTTCTGGCTCTTCGTCTTCGTCCATCGTGCGACTGACGCCGCCAACGTGAACATGACGTTTACTTCGCTCTTACTGCGAGCGTTTTGTGTGGGTTTCCGGCAATAAGTGGAATTACCGAAATAAAAAAATAAATAAATGTGTTTTTGTGTGTGTTATTGTCCCAACACATAAAAACAGATTTTATAATAAAACAACTCGCACAGAAACAGTAAAGTTAGAAATTAAAAATGAGATTAACGCGATTAAAAACATAACGTGCTAAATATGACTGTAATTAATTAATCGCAATTAACGTGATAATTTGACACCCCTAGTTTTATAGTCTGAAAAATACAGTAGATTTTCTTCTTTTTTTACTCCAGATGCCCTCCCCGTCCCTGTGGCGGCGCTGGAGCCTCTGGGGTGAAGTCCAGTGTCAGCGAAGATTCAACAAATTCTCTGAAAACATTTTTATTCCGAACAGCGTCCGTCTGTCCAAGTTGTTCCTCTCCGTGTGTTTTTATCTTTATTCCCTGAATTGAACGAGGTTTTAATGAAGCCGAGTCCAGTGAAATCTAAATAAACTGTATTATTATTATTCTTGTGCGAGGGCAGAGCTCAGCGGCGGCAGAAGCACCCGCACGCCGACCCGTTCTTAATTACCATTTTCCTCATTTATTTATTTTTTTGTCAGTTTGGTTCATGTATTTTCACCAGACAAATAATTACAGACACTGAATTAAAACACGACTGTGAGAATTTAAGGTCAGAAAAACAAAAGAACGACTGCGCTCCAACATAAACTTTGACTGTTTGTGTTGTCGTCGTCCTCGTCGGTTTTAAAAACGGAGCATGAGTTCAGAATAAAAATGAACTGAACTGTAGTTGTTGAACTTGAAAACTACCACCTCATGACATCACGAGGTGGAGCAGAACATTTGAAGGTTTGCAGATGTAGACAGATTAATAATAAAAAGTTACTCAAACATTTGTGAATGAAACAAACTTGGGCCGAGCGTTAACGCGTTCATTTTGCTAATGAATTAATTATCGCCGACAATTATTCTAACGCCGTTAACGCAGTTTTTATTATTTATTCATTTATTTTATTGTAAATGTTTGTTGCTCAATGGACTTTATTTTGAAAAAGTCCACCGTGAGCGTTTCTTAAAGTTTGACGTCTTTTCCTTACACTTTTTTCACTTTTTTCTGACCATGTGAGATGCGACATGTGTGAGACTCCGTGAGCCGCCGCGAGCTGAGAGACTCTGACTCGACTCTGACTCGACTCTGACTCGACTCTGAGCTTCTGCAGACAAATCGAGGTGTGTCCAGTGCAGTTTTCGTCGCTGTGGTCTTGCTTAAATAACACTACCACAGGGTTTTCACAAAGGCCCAGAAGATTTGGTGATCTGATCCCACCCAGAACTCAGTCACTGATTTACCCAGATACAACTGGAAGAAAAACTGTGATTGGTCCATTTCCATTCTAATTATATTAACTCTTTGTTTCCCAAGAAATATCAGTCCAAGTTTATAACACTGATCTAGAAATTATTACTAGTGTCGTGTTTATTACTCACTGCATAAAAATATTGAAAAAATATATTAGTAGTACAAAATTCATTCAATATTTTTTCTTGAGCCTCCAGAAAACCTCGAAGACTCTGAGGTTCAACTCTGAAAGAAACTCTGTTTGCACAACAAATGTTTGACTCTTTCATTTACATTTCCAATAAAAGTGCAGCTATACTCTACTTTTTAATTCATTATTTGGTTTTGTGTATAGCATGCGATTAATCGTAATTAATCGCACTCAAACTCATGCGATTAATGCATTTAATATTTTTAATTTTTTCCTAAAACAAACACAACTCCAGCTCTGTGTGACCAGGAACAGCAGAACATGGATTAAAACGCCACAGGAATCAGTTTAGTCAAATTTAGGACCTTTAAACTTTTAACACTTGCCACATGAGAGTTTTAATTCTGAATAAAAATGAATTCTGCTTTAAAAAGTTCATGTAAACACTTAGTTCTTAACGAAAATGTTTATTGTGGTTGAATCTGAACAGTGAAGAGTTTGTTTTGTTGTGATGTTAAATGTGACTGAGTTTGTTTCCTGGATCCTGTTTGTGGTTTGTTGTTGTTCAAATGCTGCTGGTGCTTCAGGCTCCTCATGTCGTCCTCCTGGTCCTGGTCCTGGTCCTGGTCCTGGTCCTGGTCCTGGTCCTGGTCCAGTCCTGGTCCTGGTCCTGGTCCAGTCGTGTCTCGGGACTTTGGTCCACGTCTCTTTGGATTTGTGAGCGGGATGTGGGATGTGGGCTGAGCTTTTGTCTTCTTCCTCCTTCTCCTCCTCAGCGACAGACGGAAAGTGTGATGAGACGATTCTCCAATGATCATCAGAACCACTGCGGGTCCAAAAAGGAACCACAAACCCAGACGACAGAAAAGACGGGAGCAGCTGAAGTTTGTGTTTTCTTCACAAAGACGTAAATCTGTTGGTGTTTCTGTCCAATCAGAACCTCCCCCCCAGACGCTCACACACAGTAAATAAAAAACATTTCACCAGTTTAACACCAAACAACAATTCAACATTGATTATTTACATGGAAACAACAAGAGAAGATTTTAACTCAAAACAGTTAAATCAGAATTAAAAAAACATCATGTAAATATGGTTAGAATGTTGTGACGTCGGCTCAAATTTCCGCCCCAAGAAATAAAAAAATTACAAAACATGACAGAAAATCCAGTGTAATGATGGAGATTCAGACTGAAGGAGCAGAGTGACACAGGGGGAACTGGAGATGTGTGGGTCTGGGGTCTGTGATTCTCTGGGGGTCTGTGGGAGTCTGTGGGAGTCTGTGGGAGTCTGTGGGGGTGTCTGTGGGTGTCTGTGGGTGTCTGTGGGTGTCTGTGGGGGTGGGTGTCTGTGGGGTGTCTGTGGGGGTCTGTGGGGGTCTGTGTCTGTGGGAGTCTGTGGGAGTCTGTGGGGGTCTGTCTGTGGGAGTCTGTGGGAGTCTGTGGGAGTCTGTGGGAGTCTGTGGGGAGTCTGTGGGAGTCTGTGGGAGAGTCTGTGGGGTGTCTGTGGGAGTCTCTGTGGGAGGTGTCTGTGGGTGTCTGTGGGGGTGTCTGTGGAAGTCTGTGGGAGTCTGTGGGAGTCTGTGTGGGTCTGTGGAGTCTCTGTGGGGTCTGTGGGAGTCTGTGGTGTGTCTGTGTCTGTGGGGTCTGTGGGGAGTCTGTGGGAGTCTGTGGGAGTCTGTGAGAGTCTGTGGGTGTCTGTGGAGTCTCTGTGGAGGTGTCTGTGGGGGTGTCTGTGGGGTCTGTGGGTGTCTGTGGAGTCTGTGGGTCTGTGGGGTCTGTGGGGTCTGTGTCTGTGTGGGAGTCTGTGGAGTCTCTAGGGGTCTGTGGGGGTCTGTGGGGGTCTGGGAGAGTCTCTGTGAGTGTCTCTGGGGTCTGTTGGTGTCTCTAGGAGTCTGTGGGAGTCTCTCTGTGGGTCTCTGGGGGGGTCTGCGTGTCTGTGGGAGTCTGTGGGTCTCTGTTTGAGTCCTTGGGAGTGTCTGGAAGTCTCTGGGGGCCTGCGGGTCTCTGTGAGTGTCTCTGGGGGGGGGATCTGTGTGCGTGTCTGCGGGGAGTTTTTTTTTGCATGCCTGTGTGTGTCTGTCTGTGGGGGGGGGGGAGGGGGGGTCTGCGTGTCTCTGTGGACTTGCCTTGATTGCACAGTGACCCAGTGAAGCCGGAGAGACAGTCGCAGTGTCCGGTGACGTGGTGACAGGCGCCGGTGCTGTGGACGCACTGGGGACACGACTGACTGCAGCGGTGCCCGTAAAACCCCGGGGAGCAGACTACAAAACACAAAACACACAAAACACACAACCCCGTCACACTCCGGAAGAACAGAGGCCGCGGACGACGACAGTGAGACGAGCGCTGATCAAAGCCCGGACGACCGCGGAGGAGAAGCGGAAGAGACATCAGCGCGAGCGGAACAGAGACCGGCTCGTCTTCATTACGGAGCCACGAGTGGACGCGGACGCCGGGAAGAGCCCAACATTCATCAACGTCACACAACTGCAACTTCCCCAGACAAATCAGATGAATTATTCACTTAGACCTGAGGATTTTTACATAAAGATGAACCGAGGAGCTTTGTACGAGGGAAGTCCACCGTCTGATTGGTGTCCGAGGAGATTAGGGCTCTGACAGGATGTTCCACAGTGTTGCTTTATACACACCTGGAGGGTTAAAAAAAAGCCTTGACGACACGTAAGAAACACTGAGGAACATTTCAGGCAAAGCAATGACATCTCCATGGAGACGAGCAGGTGACGGTGACGAGCAAATACAAACAAAGAAGACGCAGGTTAAAAGGTTCAGTGTTTGTGTCGTATTTAAAGCGACGCCGCGTTTCACCTGAGACACTTTTGAACAAACTGAACTCACACCTGCGATCAACATCTGTGTGAACATCTGTGTGAACGTCTGTGTGAACATCTGTGTGAACGTCTGTGTGAACATCTGTGTGAACATCTGTGTGAACATCTGTGTGAACATCTGTGTGAACGTCTGTGTGAACATCTGTGTGAACGTCTGTGTGAACGTCTGTGTGAACGTCTGTGTGAACATCTGTGTGAACGTCTGTGTGAACGTCTGTGTGAACATCTGTGTGAACATCTGTGGACTTTCCTCCATAAATTGGCCGACATAAAAAAAATTGAGGGGGCCGCGCTTTGCTCCGATCGGTCCCTTGGTCAGTTGTTCTGGACTTTTCCAGAACACACAGGTTGTCAGTCCGTCTGTGTGTGCACCACTGTGTGTCGGGGTCTGAGGAGCAGACGATGTGGTGACTGTGTGCGTGGTCGGTGTTTACGCGCGGGCACCTTGATTTGGATTATTAGTTGTTTTTGTTTCCTTTTGTAGGAAGTTGTGATTGGTCCTTTTTGCGTAGTTTTGGTTTATGGTTTGTTTTTGTGTGACTGCGGAGCCTAGAAGTGCGGCTGTTTGCCCGTGACACTCGCTCTCTGCTCCTCCACTCCACTTTCTGTGCCTTGCTCCGCCCAGACCTGCTCACCTGGCGCGCTCCAGTTTCCGTGCACGTGCCCTGTCAGTGGCCTCGCCCCTGTCAGCCTCGCCCCTGTCAGTGGCCTCGCCCCTGTCAGCGGCCTCGCCCCTGTCAGCGGCCTCGCCCCTGTCAGCGGCCTCGCCCCTGTCAGCCAGGTGCAGGAGTGGCTCCATGTAGCCTGTTGTTGTAGCCGTTAGCCTTTTGTTTTGATCTGAGCGTCTGTCCTGTTTTCGCGTTTCTTTTGGGTTCAGGTTGGTTTGGGGTTTTTTCTTGTTTGAGTTACAGGTGCGGCCCTGTACGGGGTCGACCCGGTGTCGCACCTTTTTGTTCTGTTTGTCCGACTCGCCAGGTCCACCTTTCTGTTTATTACTTTTCATTATTTTTTTTGGGCACGGGAGGGTTTTTAAAATTTCTTTAAAAACTTAAAAATAAATTAATTAATTAAGAACAAGCGATAAATAAAAGAAATTAAAGAGCTACATTTTGACTCCTGTGTCCTTTTTAAATATGTTGGGACTCACCTTGTGGGGGTCGTAACAGCTGGATTTTCCATGTGGGGGCACCACATGACACAAACTTTAAAAATATTTTTTGTGAATTTGTTTGTTATTCACTTGAAAATGTTAAATGGCCAAAAATAATTCATCACTGACACTAATTTCATAATAACAACAATAAATATAATAATAATGATAAAACTGAACAAATCCAGGTCACATGACACATGAGAAGTGACCCTGTTCATGTGTCATACTATTTCTGACACGAAGACAAAGGTGTGTGTGTGTGTGTGTGTGTGTGTGTGTGTCCTGTGTGTGTGTGTGTGTGTGTGTGTGTGTCCTGTGGGGGTCCGTGTGTGTGTGTGTGTGTGTGTGTGTGTGTGTGTCCTGTGGTGGGTCCGTGTGTGTGTGTGTGTGTGTGTGTGTGTGTGTGTGTGTGTGTCCTGTGGGGGTCCGTGTGTGTGTGTGTGTGTGTGTGTGTGTGTGTGTGTGTGTCTGTGGTGGTGTGTGTGTGTGTGTGTGTGTGTGTGTGTGTGTGTGTGTGTGTGTCGTGTGTGTGTGTGGTGTGTGTGTGTGTGTCCTGTGTGTGTGTGTGTGTGTGTCGTGTGTGTGTGTGTGTGTGTGGTGTGTGTGTGTGTGTGTGTGTGTGTGTGTGTGTGTGTGTGTGTCCTGTGTGTGTGTGTGTGTGTGTGTGTGTGTGTGTGTGTGTGTGTCTGTGTGTGTGTGTGTGTGTGTGTGTCCTGTGTGTGTGTGTGTGTGTGTGTGTGTGTGTGTGTGTGTCTGTGGTGTGGTGTGTGTGTGTGTGTGTGTGTGTGTGTGTGTGTGGTGTGTGTGTGGTGTGTGTGTGTGTGTCGTGTGTGTGGTGTGTGTGTGTGTGTGTGTGTGTGTGTGTGTGTGTGTGTGTGTGTGTGTGTGTGTGTGTGTCCTGTGGGGTGTGTGTGTGTGTGTGTGTGTGTGTGTGTGTGTGTGTGTGTCCTGTGTGGGGTCCGTGGTGTGTGTGTGTGTGTGTGTGTGTCCTGTGTGTGTGGTGTGTGTGTGTGTGTGTGTGTGTGTGTCTGTGGTGATTGGAGCTGCTGATGAAGAGGTTCAGACCCTCAGAGGAGAGTCTGTGTCCTCCAGACCTTCTCCAGACGAAGGTCAGAGCAGCAGGACGACTCCAGACTCAACTTCTGTCTGCTCAGACTTTACAGCTCAGGTCAACATTCTGTGTGAGGTGTGACGCAACTGGAGGCACTGCTCTGTCTGAGACTCTGACCTGAGCTACTGTGTAGTACTGTGTAGTACTGTACAGTACTGTGTAGTACAGTGTAGTACTGTGTAGTACTGTGTAGTACAGTGTAGTACTGTGTAGTACTGTGTGTGTGTACTGTCTGTAGTACTGTGTGTACTGTGTGTACTGTGTGTGTGTACAGTGTACTGTGTGGTAGTACTGTGTAGTACTGTGTACCTGTGTACTGTGTAGTACTGTTCTGTAGTACTGTGTAGTACTGTAGTGTGTAGTACAGTACTAGTACAGAGTATCTGTACTGTAGTCTCAGTACTGTGTAGTAGTACCTGTAGTACTGTGTGTACTGTGTAGTACAGTAGTACAGTGTAGTACTGTGTAGTACACTGTGTAGTACTACACTGTGTAGTACTAACTGTGTAGTACAGTGTAGTACAGTGTAGTAACGTGTAGTACTGTGTAGTACTGTGAGTACTGTGTAGTACTGTGTAGTACAGTGTGTACAGTGTAGTACTGTAGTACTGTTGTAGTACAGTGTAGTACAGTGTAGTACGTGTGTAGTAGTACAGTGTAGTACGTGTAGTACAGTGTAGTACAGTGTAGTACTGTAGTACTGTGTAGTACAGTGTAGTACAGTGTAGTACAGTTGTAGTACTGTGTAGTACAGTGTGTAGTACAGTGTAGTACAGTGTAGTACTGTGTAGTACTGTGTAGTACAGTGTAGTACAGTGTAGTGTACTGTACTAGTACAGTGTGTACTAGTGTGTAGTACAGTGTAGTACTGTGTAGTACAGTGTAGTACAGTGTAGTACAGTGTAGTACTGTGTAGTACTGTGTAGTACTGTGTAGTACAGTGTAGTACAGTGTAGTACAGTGTAGTACTGTGTAGTACTGTGTAGTACAGTGTAGTACAGTGTAGTACGTGTAGTACTACAGTGTAGTACTGTGTAGTACAGTGTAGTACAGTGTAGTACAGTGTAGTACTGTGTAGTACTGTGTAGTACTGTGTAGTACTGTGTAGTACTGTGTAGTACAGTGTAGTACTGTGTAGTACAGTGTAGTACAGTGTAGTACAGTGTAGTACAGTGTAGTACTGTGTAGTACAGTGTAGTACAGTGTAGTACAGTGTAGTACAGTGTAGTACTGTGTAGTACAGTGTAGTACTGTGTAGTACAGTGTAGTACAGTGTAGTACAGTGTAGTACTGTGTAGTACTGTGTAGTACAGTGTAGTACAGTGTAGTACAGTGTAGTACAGTACTGTGTAGTACTGTGTAGTACTGTGTAGTACTGTGTAGTACAGTGTAGTACTGTGTAGTACAGTGTAGTACAGTGTAGTACTGTACAGTACTGTGTAGTACTGTGTAGTACAGTGTAGTAAGTACAGTGTAGTACAGTGTAGTACTGTGTGTAGTACAGTACTGTGTAGTACAGTGTAGTACAGTGTAGTACAGTGTAGTACTGTAGTAGTACTGTGTAGTACTGTAGTACAGTGTAGTACTGTGTAGTACTGTAGTACTGTGTAGTACTGTGTAGTAATGTGTAGTACAGTGTAGTACTGTGTAGTACTGTGTAGTACAGTGTAGTACTGTGTAGTACTGTGTAGTACAGTGTAGTACAGTGTAGTACTGTGTAGTACTGTGTAGTACTGTGTAGTGTGTAGTACAGTGTACTGTAGTAGTAGTACTGTGTAGTACTGTGTAGTACTGTGTAGTACTGTGTAGTACAGTGTAGTACTGTGTAGTACTGTGTAGTACTGTGTAGTACTGTGTAGTACTGTGTAGTACTGTGTAGTACAGTGTAGTACTGTGTAGTACTGTAGTATGTAGTACGTGTAGTACAGTGTGTAGTACAGTGTAGTACAGTGTAGTACTGTGTAGTACAGTGTAGTACTGTGTAGTACTGTGTAGTACTGTAGTACTGTGTAGTACAGTGTAGTACAGTGTAGTACTGTGTAGTACTGTGTAGTACTGTGTAGTACTGTGTAGTACGTGTAGTGTGTTGTACTCACTCCTCTTGCAGGACGTGCCTCTGTATCCAGGGGCGCACACACAGGTCCCGTCCTCGGGGGAGCAGGAGCCTCCGTTCTGACAGGAGCAGCTCATGGAGCAGTTGGGCCCCCAGAAGCCCTGCGGGCAAACGCTGTCACAGTGGATGCCTGCGGGCACAACACAAACACACACACGTCATCTACACACACATGTGACGGGCCCCCGAGACCGGGATCAGACCGGGACTTCCTCTAAGAACACGAGAGGCCCCGGAGACTCGGATCAGACCGGGACTTCGTCTAAGAAGAGGCCATCTGGAGAAACACATCTGAGCAGGCTTCATCTGAGTCTGAGCTCAGCACATCTCCAGGATCAGCAGGATCACGCTCGGCACAAACACACACACACACACACACACACACACACACACACACACACACACACACACACACACACACACACACACACACACACACACACACACACACACACACACACACACACACACACACACACACACACACACACACACACACACACACACACACACACACACACACACACACACACACACACACACAACAGCACACACACACACACACACACACACACACACACACAACACACACACTCACACACACACTCACACACAACACACACAACAACAAACTCACTGAGGAGCTCAAACTCGTGTGTGTGTCTCTGCTTTTCAATAAATGTGCGTTTAAATGCACACATGAAGTGAATCTGAATCTGCTGCCTAAACTCACAGTGTGTCTGATATTTACCAAACGCACAAACACACAACAACCAAACAGTCACACACCACACATCAAACACACAATCACACACACCACACATCAAACACACAATCACACACATTTGCAACTTATTTTTTTCTTGCAAAACCTGTTTCTGCTCTTAGTTCCACCGAGAGAAACTGTGGCTCCAAAAGCAGAACAACCATCACACTAAAGAAAATAAAAAATATAAATATAAGAATTTTGAACTGAACCTCACATTTATTTATTCAAAATTTCACCCTCGTGGAGCCAAGAGTCGAGTCCAAACCCTCGTTTTTATTTAGGATCTTAAAGGTCCACGTCACACTGTTCTCTGTTCTGACGTTCGTTTCCTCGTCACAAACAGAAAAACTGGACTCATGTTTTGTTTCATTCACATGTTCAACACACAAACCTGCACATTTAGGATTTAGGATTCTTCTCTCGAACTGAAAACGCTCAAACATGTGAATGAAACAAACACAACTGCAGCTCTGTGTGTGACCAGGAACATCAGAACATCAGAACATCAGAACATTAGACTTGAGCCTCACAGGGTCCAGTCTGTGTTTCTGGAAAACCTTTCATGTTCTAACAATCACATTTCCTGGAGAACACAGCGCCCCCTGTCTGTTATGAAGCGCCTCCTCCTCCTCCTCCTCCTCCTTCTTCTTCTTCTCGTGCAGTTTCTTTCTCTCCTCTCGCCTCTCGGAGTGTTGTATTTTTGATGTGAGCGCGGCGCTCTGCCACCGCTCTGTGTTCATTAACAGGGTCTGATCTCCTGAGAAACACAACTACTCTGCCATTCTGTTTCAGGAAGAAGAGAGCGAGAAGAGGAGAGAGGAGGAGAGGAGGAGAGGAGGGGGAGGAGGAGAGAGGAGGGGAGAGGAGGGGAGAGGGAGGAGAGGAGGAGGAGGAGGGGGAGAGAGGAGGAGAGGAGGAGGAGGAGGAGAGGAGAGAGGAGGGAGGAGGGAGAGGAGAGGAGGATGGAGGAGAGGAGAGGAGGATGGAGAGAGGAGAGGAGAGGAGGAGGGAGAGGAGAGGGAGGAGGAGAGGAGGAGAGGAGGAGGGAGGAGGAGGAGAGAGAGAGGAGAGGAGGAAGGAGAGAGGAGGGAGGAGAGAGGAAGAGGAGGAGAGGGAGAGGAGGAGAGGAGAGGAGAGAGAGGAGAGGAGGAGGAGAGGAGAGGGAGAGAGGAGGAGGAGGAGGGAGGAGAGAGAGAGAGAGAGGAGAGAGAGGAGAGAGGAGGAGAGGAGAGAGGAGAGGAGAGGAGAGAGGAGGGAGGAGGAGAGGGAGGGAGAGGAGAGGAGAGGAGGAGGAGGGGAGAGGAGGAGAGAGAGGAGGAGAGAGGAGAGGAGGAGAGGAAGGAGGAGGAGGAGGAGGAGGAGGAGGGAGGAAGGAGGAGAGGAGGAGGAGAGAGAGAGAGGAGGAGAGGAGAGAGAGGAGAGAGAGAGGAGAGAGGAAGGAGAGGAGAGAGGAGAGAGGAGAGAGAGAGGAGGAGAGAGGAAGGAGAGGGAGAGAAGAGGAGGAGAGGAGGAGGAGAGAGAGAGGAGAGAGAGGAGGAGAGGAGAGAGGGAAGGAGGAGAGAGAGAGCAGGAGGAGAGGGAGAGGGAGAAGGGAAGAGGAGGGGAGGAGAGAGAGGAGGAGAGGAGAGAGAGGAGAGGAGAGGAGGAGAGAGAGAGAGGAGAGGAGGAGAGGAGGAGAGAGGGAGGAGGAGAGGAGGAGGAGAGAGAGAGGAGGAGGGAGAGGAGGAGGAGAGAGAGAGGAGGAGAGGAGAGGAGAGGAGGAAGAGAGGAGGAGAGAGAGAGGAGAGGGAGGAGAGGAGGAGGAGAGAGAGGAGGAGGAGAGGAGGAGAGGAGAGGAGGAGAGAGGAGAGAGAGATGGAGGAGGGAGAGGGAGAGGAGGGAGGAGAGGAGAGGGAGAGAGAGAGAGAGAGAGGAAGAGGGGAGGGGAGAGGGGAGGAGAGGAGGAGAGGAGGAGAGAGAGAGAGGAGAGGAGAGAGGGAGGAGAGGAGAGAGGAGAGGAGAGGAGGGGAGGAGAGGAGAGAGAGGAGGAGAGAGAGAGAGGGAGGAGAGAGAGGAGAGAGAGGAGAGAGGAGGGAGAGAGGAGGGAGAGGAGGAGAGAGAGGAGGAGAGGAGAGGAGGAGAGAGAGAGAGGAGGAGAGGGAGGGGAGGGGAGAGAGAGAGAGGAGGAGAGAGGAGGGGAGGAGAGAGGGAGAGAGGAGAGGGAGGGAGAGGAGAGGAGAGGAGAGAAGAGGAGAGGAGAGAGAGGAGGGGAGAGGAGGGAGAGGAGGAGAGGAGAGAGAGGAGGAGGGAGAGAGGAGAGGAGGAGAGGAGGTTGTGCAGATACTGAGGCGGGTACAGCGGGTACACAGTCCAGCCTCAGATTGTGGCATCAGTCTGGACACAAGACGCTAAAAACCTATTTTCATTAAAGTTGTTTTCAACCTGCGACGACTCGAAGGTTTAAGGTTCAAATCCAAAAGAAGAAAAAAAAAACTGGAATGAAGTGAAAGAAATCAACTCTCACTTACACAACTCCAGTACAAACACACACACACACACACACACACACACACACACACACACACGCACACACACGCACACACACACACACGCACACACACACACACACACACACACACACACACACACACTGGGGGCGAGGGTGTGTTGCCCAAGGACACAGTGTCAATATTCATCTGTGGGAGCTGGAATCGCACCACCAACCCCTGAGCCTGTGGTTCTGAATGATGTTTATGTGGAGCGGGATTCGAACCGACAACGACAAACACTCAGAGCCACAGTCGACTGTTAATGTACGAAAGATTTAAAGGAGAAACTTAAGGGAAAAATACACAGAAAATATACACAGAAAATATACAGAAATATACACAGAAAATACACAGAAAATATACAGAAAATATACAGAAAATATACAGAAGTGTCACCAGCATCTGAGCAGAACTGAAGAAACACTTTGGATGAAACGTTTTCAACCAAATAAACTTTGTCCAGTTGACAAATTGAATTTGTCCTTTTGCCGTAGATTCGACTGAAATAATCATAACAACTGCACTTTTACTGATAAAAATATCACAACTACACTTTATTAATGATAATATAATAATTACATGTAATTATTAATAATATCATAACTAGACTTAGATTAGATTCAGAATAAAGATTTAAAAATGAGGTTTTGTTCTAACTTGATTATAAATGAATCTGAGTCTGGATCATTGTTAAAGGACAAATCTTCATGTTTTATTCTTAATAAACGACATGTTCATGTTTTATTCTTAATAAACGACATGTTCATGTTTTATTGAGGATAATTAAGGTCGTTTTATCATGAAGTTCAAATGATTTAAGTGTCGAGGTCAAAATCAAAATATTACAATGTTTTTTCACATAATAATGATACACACACACACACCCCGACACACACACACACACACCCCGACACACACACACCCGACACACACACACACACACACACACACACACACACACAACACACACACACCACACACACACACACACACACACACACACCACACACACACACACACACACACACCACCGACACACACACACACCCCACACACACACCCCGACACACACACCCACACACCACACACACCACACACACACACACACACACACACACACACACACACACCCCGACACACACACACACACACACACACACACACACACACACACACCCCGACACACCACACACACACACACACACACACACACACACACACACACACACACACACACACACACACACACACACACACACCACACACACACACACACCACACACACACACACACCCCGACACACACACACACCCCGACACACACACACCCCGCACACACCCGACACACACACACCCTGACACACACACAACACACCACACAACACACACACACACCCGACACACACACACACACACACCCACGACACAACACACACACACACACACACACAGACACACACACACACACACACACACACCGACACACACACACACACACACACACCCGACACACACACACACACACACACACACACACCCAGAGACACACACACACACACTACACACACACACACACACACACACACACCCCGACACACACACACACACTCTCTCTCTTTCTTTTTCTCTCTGAACCTTGAAGATTCGTTCTTTAGTTTGAAGTTTCATTTGAAATTTCCTTTGAATGTGAAAAAAGCAGAGCAGCGACTTTGAATTAAACCTGAACACAAACTGCAGTACTACTACTACTACTACTACTACTACTACTACTACTACTACTACTACTACTACTACTACTACTACTACTACTACTACTACTACTACTACTACTACT